CCTGCCCATGGAATGAAATGTTCTTTAAGATCCCTTCCAACCCAAGCCATTCCATGATTCGGTTGGGCTGTAGATTTTTGGGAACAAAGTGTCACTGCTGTTTTGGTGTGAATCGAGTCACCCGTGTTATGAAAGCCACAGACAGTGATAGTTTATTACAAATTTTGTGCTAAATTACTGTGATTTAAATGATCTTAATGACCTTTTCTGACCTGTTTGGGTGTGTTTTGTGGGTTTTGTTCCCAGGTTCGAATAATTCCATTGCAACTCCAGAGGTTGTTTGCTCAGCTCCTGCTCTTGGACCAACAGGCTGCATCCACCACAGACCTCACTGAGAGCTTTGGCTGGAACAGCCATGAGGTGCAAATCTCCAGCCCTTGGAAACTTGTTTTCCTCAATGGAGAGTTTGTTTTTTTTTTTTTCTTGGAGTTTGACCTTTAAGACACAAAATCTTTCAGGCTGTGTAGATGACCTTGGGCTGGGTCAGCTGTTGTTGGCTCTCCACACAAACTCCATGCCAGTTCACAGGAAGCTGCAGAAGATGGTTGTTCTCTTTGATACAACTCCTGTAGCTTTTCCTTGGTTTTTACAGGAATGTTTTCTGGCAGTGTCCTCAAATACTCAGATTCTTACCCAAGTGAAAGTGTGTCACTCATCTTAGAGTTGAGTGCCAGGACAAGGGGGAATGGCTTCCAACTGCCAGAGGGCAGGGTTAGGTGGGATACTGGGAAGGAATTCTTCCCTGGGAGGGTGGGAAGGGGGTGGGATGGAATTCCCAGAGAAGCTGTGGCTGCCCCTGGATCCCTGGAAGTGTCCAAGGCTAGATTGGAGCAACCTGGGCTAGTGGAAGGTGTTCCTGCCCATGGCAGGGGGTGGGATGGGATGAGCTTTAAAATCCCTCCCAACCACAACCATTCCGGGATTCTTCCCAAGTGGGAGTGTCGTATGTGGGTTGTAGATGATGTACTTGGAGGGGGTTACTCAGCATAACCCCCTCAAGAACAGTAATAAGTGTGGTATTTTACTCCTCAGGGGGTAACCTGTGAGGAGTCAGAGGCGGCTCTGTGACACCTGATAAAAGCTGTTTTTAAGGAATTAGCAGAGCAAAGAGCACTGTTTGATTTCTCCCTGTTTCCTGGGGCAGGAGATGAGGCAACACGATGTGCAGGAGTTGAACAGGATCCTGTTCAGTGCTCTGGAGACCTCCCTGGTGGGGACATCAGGCCATGACCTCATCAACCGACTCTACCATGGGATTGTTGTCAACCACATCGTGTGCAAGGAGTGCAAGAATGTCAGTGAGAGACAGGTAAAGCAGGGGCATTTTCCACCACAGTGTGATGAAGGTATTTCCAATATTCTTTTTTTTTTAAGTCCAAAAGAAAAGAAATCTCATCTTTCCTGTGTCCTTGTTGAATCGAGACTCGAAGTCTTGGCTGCGTTTTCCAAACCACCTCCCTCAGAGGGGAAAAACCCAAATGTTCCCGTGTCCTCTGAGCCTTTGGGAGATGCAGTTACCTCACTGCTCAGCTCTCTAACAACAGCAAAATGTATATTTACAGTCTTTGATGCTCCAAAAAAATTGGGGTGTAAAAATTAATTTCTCTTCTCTGATGGT